AACCTCAGACTCTTGGGCTTAAGTGGTTCTCTTGCCTCAGCCTCCCAAATTGCTGGGACTATAGGCACCCGCCACAACGCCTGGCTATTTTTTTATTGTAGTTATCATTGTTGTTTAGCAGGCCCTGGTCAGGTTCGAACCCGCCAGCCCTAACACATGCTGGCGCCCTAAACACTGAGCCAACAACTTCTTTCAAGTCATTCATCTGCACCTCTCTGGTCATAATTTCCATAATTTTCTGCTGGATTTGGCAAACCTGTTGGTGCTGGGCATAAGAGGTCTTCCATATCTGATTGTTGTGTTTTTTAGTAAAACCAACACAGAAAAGATGAAGCAAATAACCATCAGTAGTCTTAACATCAACATGAGCTTCAATCATAGTTCACCATTTTTTAATCATAGAACACATTTTGTCCCAGGGAAGATCCATACCATGGAAGTTAGTCAGGCAGTTTGTGCCCTGAACATCTTCAGTAATCCGCTTGATTTTTCTGAATGCCACTTCATCATTCTGCAGATCAGCAAGACTCACTTCAAACACATAACCTTTGAGGCCATCGGATACAATTTTAGTTCCTTGAGTCTTTTTTTTTTTTCAGTTTTTGGCTGGGGCTGGGTTTGAACCCGTCACCTCCAGCATATAGGGCCGGTGCCCTGCTCCTTTGAGCCATAGGCTCCGCTCTCAGTATTTCTTATATTGAACATAGCAGGTGCCTTCACATCATTCCAGTATTTATTAGAAAAGAAGTCAACCACTTTCTTCTTGGCTCTCTTTTTGCTGCCTTTCATAAGGCACTTGTTCTTGCTGACTGCCACGGTGGTGCTCAACGAGTCAAAAGGTGATTCTCCCCATTTTACTGTTGAGGAAACTCAGGCTCAGAGGCATTGAATCATCTTCCCACAGTCACCCTTGAGAAAGAAGTGAAAAAGGGACTTTAACCCAGGGCATCTGACTCCACCCCAATCAGGCCCAAGGCTTTGAGCCCTGCTGTCCTATCAGCCTTTATTTATAGATGAGACCACCACAGAGATTCCAAAGAAAGTATGGCAGGATCATTTTCTGTACAGGGCAAGACAGGCAATATTTTCTGCTCCATAAGGCAGCTTATATCTGGTGTAACTACTCCATTCTGATGTTATGATGAGAAAGCAGCCAGGAGACAACATGCAAATGAATAGATATGGACATGTGCCAATAAAACTTTATTTATAACACAGAAACAAGAATTTGATATAATTGGTGGTCACAGACCACCAAATTCCATTCTTCTGTTGACATTCCCCCCACCCAACCATTTAAAAATGTGAAAACCAGGCTGGGTGCAGTGGCTCATGCCTGTAATCCCAGCACTTGGGAGGCTGAGGCTGGTGGATTGCCTGGGCTCATAAGTTCAAGACCAACCTGAGCAAGAGTGAGACCCAGTCTCTAAAAAATAGCTGGACTTGCAAACTCCTGGATGCAAGACTCTAGGAATTTGAGGTTGCTATGAGCTAAGATGCCACTGCACTGTACCAAGGGTAACCAAGTGAGACTCTGTCTCAAAAAAAAAAAAAAAAAAAAAGTGAAAACCATCTGTAGCTGGTGGACAGCCTGAAAACAGGCTATGGGCCAGATGTGGCCCTTGGGATGAAGTTTGCTAACCCCTGGAAGGGGGCTTTCCTGGCAAGCCATCATCCCTTACCTCTTGGCAAGTTGTCATCCCTCACCTCTTCGTGCTTCCTTAGACTTAGAGAGGTCCCCAAGCCCCAGCCCTGGGTTCAAGGTAATGGCTAACTGCATCTCCACCCCCAGATCACAGAACTCTCCAAAGAAGTTTTCAGTCTTAAGGAGGCACTGAAGGAGCAGTTGGCCCCCCTGGCTACCCCTGAGATGGAGGCCCTGCGTGGCCAGGTGAAGGCCTTACAACAGCAACTGGAGGTGAGGCTGGGGCTGAAGAGCACCATCAGGGTAGGGGTATGAACATCTTTATCAGCCAGCACAGCACAGGGTGGAGAGCCCAGGAGACAGACTGGGGCAGGCAGGATGTAAGGGGTATACACTCAAGGCATGATCAGAAAATATTCCCATATTTTAGCAATTGACTGTCACCCTGGTTCATAACATCAAAATATAGGCTCCAGATTGGGCATGGTGGCTCATGCCTATAATCCCAGCACTTTGGGAGGCTGAGGCAGGAGTATCACTTGAGGCCAGGAATTCAAAACCAGCCTGAGCAACATAGTGAGACCCTGTCTCATCCAAAAATAGAAAAATTAGCCAGGCATGGTAACTTACCCCTATAGTCCTAGTTACTTAGGAGGCTGAAGTGGGAGGATTGCTTGAGCCCAAGAGTTCAAGGCTATAGTGAGCTATGATTACTCTACTGTACTCCAGCTGAGGCAACAGAGCAATACCCTATCTCACAAAATAAAAAAATAGGCCCAGGTGCAAATGGGGCATTTCGTTATGTTTTGCTGGGGGGGAGGGGAGGTCCTGCTTCTCTGAGTGCCCTTCCCCTGCACCCCAGGAGTCTGCCAGGGACCACAGTGCTGTGGTGGCTTTGTATAGGAGCCACCTTCTCTATGCTATTCAGGTGAGTTACCCAGCTGCCTGGTCCATCTCAGGTGCTTATCTGGCTTTGTGCAAGCCATTACTGCTCTTGGGGCCTCAGTTTCCTCTTCTGTACAGTGGGAGGCTGGTCCTGGGAGAGGTGCATGGTCTATTGGAGCCTGTCTGTGTGCATATACCTCATGGCTCGCTTGGTCTATGGGTGTTGGAGTGGGGCCAATCTGGGGCAGGTGCACCCAGGGCCTCTCTCTGCTCCCCTCGACCCTAGGGCCAGATGGATGAAGATGTGCAGCGCATTCTCAGCCAGATTGTCCAGATGCAAAGACTCCAGGCTCAGGGCCGCTGAGACAGAGGCCAGACAGCCCACTGGCTATCCCTACATGGAGCCTCGGCCATCTTGGGCCAGCTTCACCTAGCCCTGTGGAGTCTCTGGGCTTGTGCTCTTGGAGACCAGCCTGGGGTCCTTCCCAACTGTACCTAGCTGGTTTCATCGCCCCACCTGGTCCTGCATGCTGCACACTGGTCAGTCTGGGCCCCCGGGGCCTAACTGCCCCTCCCCCATGACCGGAGAATCTGTGAGTCCTTTGTCCCTCCCACATCCCATCCCCAGGCGCCAAGCCAGGAATAAAGGCAACTGTGCACAGGACAGGTGTGTCAGCCTGATTGCTGGGCTCCTGCTGAGAGGAGGGGAGGAGGTGGCCCAGAACAGGAAGTGCTCACCCCAACTCCATCCACACTCTCAATCATGACGATCAATACCATATGAATGCAATATTTTAAAAAGGCAAAATGGCTGCCAAAAATGTTAAAATGTCAAATGAAAGACAAGAGCTGAGCCTGCACCTGCACTTCTTAATTCACCTCCTAATCTTAGACCTACCCCTAGTGGGACACATCCCCCCAACCTTTCTCTGCCCCTTGGCAAATCCCCCAAAATCCCCAGAGGATTCTGGGTACTTTCTAGTTTCTAGAGGGGAGGCAGGAGTGTGGCTGGGACTCCCCAGTGGTGTGTAGCCTGTCCCTGGGGGTTTCCGTGGTCGTCCAGGGCAAGCACTGTGCCTATTAGGTGCTCACTGTTATCCACAGTGGCAGATGCTTCCCTGGGTCTGTGTCCCCTGACTCCCTGTGGCCAAGACACAGAGGGGTCCTTCCATGCCCATCTCAGTGGTCAGTGAGTCTCTCCTCTTAGTCTGTGCCTGGATGCCTCTGGGTCCCTATCTTTCTTTTTCTATGGATCTTTGTCCCTGTCTCTGTTTCTGTGTGTCTCCTTCTCTGTCTCTCTCACTTCCCTGTCTCTCTGTCTCTTCTGTCTTTTGTTCTATCTAACTCTGTCTGTCTGAGTCTCTGCCTTCCCTTGTCTCTCTCCCTCTCTTCCCCTCCTTCTCCAGATCTCTGTGTCTCTCTCCTTCCTGTCGCTGTCTCTCTCCTCTCTCTATCTCTGTCTCAACTCTCCTATGTCCATCTCTATCTCTTGATCTCCATCTCTGTCCTGTTCTTGCTATTTTTGTCTCTATGTGTCCCTCCTCTCTGTGTCTGTCCCTCTGCCTCTCCCTCTCTACATCTCTGTGTCTCTCCTTTCCCCATCTTGGTTTCTGTTGTCCTCCTTGTCCTAGTTGTCCTCCCTGGGGATTCCCCCCAGGGACTGCAGCCGGAAGGAAGGGCTGCTGGCCTCACGGGGCTGGGGAAGGCCAGAGGGCTGCACTTCTCCCTTTTGTGGCCTTCTCTCCCTACCCCCACTTTCAGGGCCTTCCGTATCCAGGGTGATGGGTACAGAGCCGGGGGCTGCCACCTTGCTCATCTCTCCATGGGCCTCAGGAACCCGCCCTCCTGGGTGGATCTCAAGTTCTTGCCTCCTGCCTTAATCTGTGAGTCTCCCAGGACTGTCCCCACCCCAGCTCCTGAAAGCCGAGCTGGCCACAGCCATGACCCCGAGACTCTTCCTGGCCCTGGCCCTCTGGTCCAGTTGCATGCCCAGCCATGGAAAGGAAGGTATGTGGGACCTCTGGGGATTGGGGTACCCAGGCAGAGGGACATGATAGGGGACTAGAACTTGACCTTCTGCCTTGGATCATGTCTAGGGTGGGAGTTCACATGTCTCTTGTGTGCCCACTGGGGTCACATTCCCATTGTATGGGTGGGGAAACTAAGGTAAAGAGAGGTGAAGCCAAAAAGTGGCAGACATAGCTTGGAGACACTGGCAGAGCTGTATAGATGCAGAAATGGGTTTGAGTTGGATCCATTCAAATAGAATAGACCCTGGAATAGAGAATGTGTCCCTGTGTTTCAAGACAAAACTTACAAAAAGGGGCTATATTAACCCTCTCTTTCCTACCCAGGTTCCCCTCTATAGCGCTTTCAACCTCAGATTTCACATCTGGAAAATGGGCTAATAGTTCCCACCTTACCGCACTGTTGTGGGAGGGAGAGATGATGTTGGTGCCTTTTGTTCCTGTATTCATTAATTCCATGTACCTTTCCCAGGTACCTGCTGTGTGCCTGGTGCTGGCTGGCAATGTGGCAGGGCTGATCTAGGGTGGGGCTGTGATGATCAGGGCATATATTAGAAGCTCACGTTCCCCTCTCTTTTCTTCCCCCGGGGGCCTCAGCAGCTCTGTCCCTGCCCAGGGTGTACTGCCGAGCCTCTCGATACCCAATAGCAGTGGATTGCTCCTGGACCCTGCCACCAGCTCTGAACTCCACCAGGCCTGTGTCCTTCATTGCCACATACAGGTCAGAGAGCCCGGAAGGGACTGTGGGGACACGGAACCTCCCAGAAAGTCCAGAACTCTGGTCCTGAAAGCCCTTAGGTCAGGAAACCTATTGACCCAGATATCCTGAACCCCAAATCTTTGGGATTCTATTTCTGTCCTTTGGAAATATACTTCCTAAAATGACATATCACATATTATGTACACACTGGAAACCACATCTGTGGTTTAAAACTTTCTAGTAGGGCAGCGCCTGTGGCTCAGTCGGTAGGGCCCCATATACCGAGGGCGGCAGGTTCAAACCTGGCCATGGCCAAACTGCAACAAAAAAAATAGCCAGGCGTTGTGGCAGGTGCCTATAGTCCCAGATACTCGGGAGGCTAAGGCAAGAGAATCGCCTAAGCCTGGGAGTTGGAGGTTGCTGTGAGCTGTGACACCATGGCATTCTACTAAGGGCGATAAAGTGAGAGTCTGTCTTAAAAAAGTAAATAAATAAAACTTTCTAGTACTCACATGAAAATGAGATAAAGACAGGGATGAAATTAATTTTAATTTGTTATTGAAATAATATCTAAATATTTTGAATATATATAATTTAAGATGATTTAATGAAATTTAAGTTAACGTTTATATCTTTATAATTAATCTATATATTTAAATTATATAACCTGAAATTTCAGTTATTTGGGAGGCTGAAGGGGAAGATTACTTGAGCCTTAGAGGGTTTTCTGTTTGTTTGTTTGTTTGTTTTGAGAGATTATCACTATGTCACCCTCCGTAGAGTGCTGGGGTGTCACAGCTCACAGCAAGCTGAAACTCTTGGCTTAAGTGATTCTCTTGCCTCAGTCTCCCAAGTAGCTGGGACTACAGGTGCTCGCCACAATGCCCAGCTGTTTTTTGTTCCAGTTGTCATTGTTTAGCTGGCCCAGGCTGGGTTCAAACCCACCAGCCTCGTGTATGTGGCTGGCACCATAACCACTGTGCTATGGGTGCCGAGCCAGCCTTAGAGTTTGAGACCAGCCTGGAAAATATAGTGATATCTTACCTCTAAAAATAAATAAATAGGCTGGGTGTGGTAGCTCACGCCTGCAGTCCTAGCACTCTGAGAGGCCAAGGCACGTGGATTGCCTGAGCTCAGGAGTTCAAGACTAGCCTGAGCCAGAATGAGATCTCATCTCTATAAATAGCTAGGCATTGGCTCAGCGCCTATAGCTCAACCGGCTAAGG